CCCCCCCCCCCCCCGCCTCTCTCTGCTCCGCCCTCCGGCCCTTTCCCGCCACCTCTGCGTGGCCTTGGCCGCGGGCCCGGGGCGCTGTTTGCTCAGGGCCTGCTGGCTCCAGGGGGCAGAGATTTTACGCCCGTTTTCCTCCCTTTCGGGAGTTTTTCTCATGCCGGCCGGTTGCACATGCCGTTCTCACTCTTCTGCTGGGCCCGTGCGGGTGCCGTAAGGAACTAGACTTCCCGGGAGCAGCGCACGCCCGGGAAGACCGGCCGCGAGAACTGACGGCCACCCTTTCTGTCTTGTATGTCACAAGCCCGGAGCGAGGATGCCAGGTCGCCCCCGTCGCAGAGACGCAGGGGCGAGGACTCGACCTCCACGGGGGAGCTGCAGCCCCTGCCCACGTCGCCCGATTTAAGAGAGTAGATCTTAAAAGTTCTCATCGCAAGAGAATAAAGCAAAACTATGTGAGGTAATAGATGTTAACTAAAATTCTTATGGTGATCATTCTGCAATATACATATATCAAATCATGATATTGTTCCCTTGAAAGGAGGAAGAATGTGAGCCATGCAGCCAGCACAGCATGCTGAAGTGGGGCTTCCTGTCAGTCTAGCCCAGTGGTTCTCAACCTTCCTAATGCCTCGACCTTTTAATACAGCTCCTCATATTGTGGTGACCGCCACAATATGTCATTGTTACAAATGGAACATAATTAAAGCATAGTGATTAATCACAAAAACAATATGTAATTATATGTGTTTTCCGATGATCTTAGGCAACCCCTGTGAAAGGGTGGTTTGCCCCCCCCCCAAAGGGTCACGACCCACAGGTTGAGAACCGCTGGCTTAGAGCGACAGCGAACATGCTATGTTGTCTGGTTTGATGTGCTACCAGGCTTTCATTGTGAACATCCACATTTTGTTTTTATAGCTATTCCCCTTGACTTTGACGTTAGTTCACCACTGACATATGGCACCCCCAGCTCTCGAGTGGAGGGAACCCCAAGGAGTGGTGTGAGGGGCACACCCCTGAGGCAGAGGCCCGACCTCGGGTCTGCACGGAAGGGGCTGCAGGTGGATTTGCATTCCGATGGGGTGAGTACACAGCACAGTCTTCTGGTAGCTTGGTTTGCGGGCATAACATGGTTCATTAACGTGCTTCTGTCGTATTTTTCTGTGTAGCCAGCAGCAGAAGATGTAGTAGCAAGTGAGCAGTCTCTAGGCCAAAAACTTGTGATTTGGGGAACAGATGTCAATGTGGCAACGTGCAAAGAAAATTTCCAGGTGAGCTATATGTGTTCACATTCATAACCCACTGAAAATGCTGGGGGAAAGTGTTAATGACCTATATTTACGTAGTCATAATATCTAGTGGTAAATTTTTTAAATATATTTTTATTAATTTCGGAGAAAAGGGGAGATCACGAGAATCGTGGATCTGCTGCCTCCTGCCCTCCTGCCCGCCTGCCCCTCCCCCAACTGGGGATTGAGCCATGAACTTCTGGTTCACCAGTCAATGGTCACCCACTGAGCCACTGGTGTCAGGCCCTGCTGGTAGATTTTTATGCAGCTTAGAATTGTTGCTATTTTCCTGCTTTGTAATAGTGACATACTCATAACTTTGTATTTTGAATACTTGCTTATTCCTCAGTGCATTAAACTTAATATTTGTCTCCCCACATCAAGAGATTTCTTCAGCATTTTATTGACCCTCTGGCTAAAGAAGAAGAAAATGTTGGTATAGATATTACTGAACCTCTGTACATGCAACGACTTGGGGAGGTAATTATATATTCTTACTTACAAACTCAAATTATGCATTTCAAAACAATCAGACTATAACTTGTTCATTTGATCTTGTAGATTAATGTTATTGGGGAGCCATTTTTAAATGTAAACTGTGAACACATAAAATCATTTGACAAAAATCTATACAGACAGCTCATCTGCTACCCACAGGTAAGAATTTGTCTTTGACATTGATGAATTACATAAACATCTAGAATATCTTAAGAGTTTCTGAATAGCAGAATTTCCTTGGTGGTAACAGAATATGCCTCCAAGGCAAAAGAACATGGCTTAGAAAGCCATGTTTAATCTCCTTTAAGATAAGCCCTTTTCACACTTTAACATTTCTGAAATTGGGATGTGTAGTACTGTCAGTGACACATTTTTGTTTAATTGGCACTATGTCAACTATATTGATTGTAGCTATAGACTTTGGAGGCAAGCCGACTCAGTTTTAAATATTGATGTTTTCTGCTTAATAGCTATGTAACCTGGGTCAAGTTGCTTAGCTCCCCAGCCCCAAAAGGCTATTTCCTCATATGCAGAATGGGGAACAAGTGTTGACAAATTTGGATAAAATAATTATGGTTTAATTTATTGGTATCATTTCACTGTGAATAAAGTAAGACATAAAAGTATGTGCTCAAAATTTATTTTGTTACTGATTAGGAGCCTAAAATATGCCAGTACATACTGAAGGCACTATTTATATGTAATTTAACCCCAATGAGAGCATGCGGACGTAAGATAATTGAGTGAACCCACGATTTATAAATGGTATGTGTGTGACTAAAATAATGCTTTTGGATTGTGCCATGTGTTCTGCTTTTTCACCCGTTGCTAATATGAAGTGCTTTATGTTTCACCGTAAGATGGAAATGCAAACACAGCTTGGTGTCCGCTCATTTTTCATAGGAGGTTATCCCAACTTTCGATATGGCTGTCAATGAGATCTTTTTTGACCGTTACCCTGACTCAATCTTAGAACATCAGATTCAAGTAAGACCATTCAATGCATTGAAGACTAAGAATATGAGGAACCTGAATCCAGAAGGTAATTTTTTAATTGATTTTAGAGAAAGCGAAAAATGTTATTTATGCATTTATTGGATGGCTTTTGTATGCTCTGACTGGAGATGGAACCCACAACCTTAGTGTATCAGGACAATACTCTAACCAACTGAGCTTCCCAGCCAGGGCCAGAAGGTAATATTTTTAATAGGAAAATGCCTTACATAAAAATAAGCAAAACCTTATTTTATCAAGGAACTTTATTTTTTTAATATATTTATTGATTTTTTACAGAGAGGAAGGAAGAGGGATAGAGAGTTAGAAACATCAATGAGAGAAACATCGATCAGCTGCCTCCTGCACACTCCCTATTGGGGATTTGCCCACAACCAAGGTACATGCCCCTGACCAGAATCAAACCTGGGACCCTTGAGTCCATAGGTCGAAGCTCTATCCACTGAGCCAAACCAGTCAGGGCAAGAAACTTTAAAATAATTGGAGGTGGTAGGTTGCAAATTGATAAAATAATATCAGATTCAGCTAACCTATATGATTATGAATCCACCAAGCCTTTTTAAACTTAACTGAAAGTATATAGAGTATATACCTCTTCTCTATCTTAAGGTGAACTTATCCAAATACTATAATTTTACACTTTCTCAGAATCACTGTAGAAAACAAGTACAAATATGATCCCTGCCCTAGAGCTTAAAAAATAAATCTAGTTGGGAAAGTAACTGAAAGAAGAGTTAGAATAACTGAAGAACAGTGCGGGAGATGTCTCACTCAGGGAGAGAAGGAAAGCACTGGGCCCAAGTGGGAAGAACTCATGGTGAAATAGAAATTGGGATTATAGCAAGGATTTCGAAAGCAGACATGAAGGAATTCTCTCTAGACAGCAGAATGTAGCCAGACACAAGGAAGCAAGACAGAGCTACGTGTGCACAGTGAGTGATGGCTGAAACAGGGAGTTTGGCTCACAATGTTTGTATGGAGGTTGGAAAGCTTAGGTCCTAAAGAGCTTTGAATTCCAACTTAACTGAGATTTTTATTCCAAAGTCTATAGGGAGCCATTGAGGAGAAAGATTGACAACTCTTGAGACGGTCATGGTCGGTCCAGTGTGCAAAGTATGTTGAGGTTCAATTGGGAGACTAACAATAGCTCAAATATAGGGCAACAGGATCCTAAGGTGGCCATCAGAGTAAAAAAAACAGGACAAACATTATTTGCCATGTATAAAAATTGAGGTGTAAAAGCTATTGGCAATTAATGAACACTGCTTTAAGTAAAAGTATAAAAGACATAAATTTCCATCAAAGAAAATTAGACAGCCAATAAACATGAGTAAGTGTTGGACTTCACTATTTATTGAAGAATTGTTTTTTGTTTTTGTTTTTTCATTTTATGAAATCAGTACCTGGAACCATCTCTGATAGGAATTTGGTGGGGACATTGGAAGTGCTGAAGGGATAGGACGATCTATAAGGCCAGCAATAGCTGGCTACGCTGTTTTGTTGACTAGAAATGACAGTGTAAGTCTTTTAGAACCAGCAATGGGAATTAGTTGAGAGAAAACTTGGGGAAGGTCCAAATTGTAATGAAGATTGGCTAAGTTATATAGTGCTTATCTCTGTCAGGTACTGTTCCTTAGACTTGTTTTTTTTTTTTAAATATATTTTATTGATTTTTTACAGAGAGGAAAGGAGAGAGATAGAGAGTTAGAAACATCGATGAGAGAGAAACATCGATCAGCTGCCTCCTGCACATCTCCTACTGGGGATGTGCCCGCAACCCAGGTACATGCCCTTGACCGGAATCGAACCTGGGACCTTTCAGTCCGCAGGCCGACGCTCTATCCACTGAGCCAAACCAGTTTCGGCAGGCTTGTATTATATAAACTGACTCTTAATCCTCAGCAACTCTGAGATAGATGTGTCCCCAGGGTCCAGGCCGGGTGTCTGTAGAGTCCAT